GTTTAGTCCGCAAGCGGAAAACTATCCTCTTGATGCTGCCACACCTACACAAAGCAGCATGTAACAAACAAGGGCTTGAACTAAGTCGGCAGCCCGAGCAACGAATGCGTTTGTAAAGAAGGACCTACATGTGATAACAACGACAATGCTAAATTGGAAGAGTCTCCTGGCCACTGCGGGCGAGTTCTGCGGTCCAGACGGTGGACAGGTTACCGTCCAGCCTTTTGCACGTCGCCCACAAGTTGAGAGCCTTGCGATTGAAGAAACCTGCAGGCCTGTGTTCGCTGCAGTGTCACGTTTTGCACTGAAAATTGAATTCTTGATGACCTGCTTGACCGGCACAGAATGCACCACGGATGGCGATGGAGAGATGGTCTGGAAACTGTCGTATCGCTCGGCCACGGCTTTTATCGAAGCAGTTTGCAGCTGCACTGGCGCCACTTCCCGACCAGCCTGGCCTTTCTCTCCCAGGCGTAGGCTGCGAAAGCAGTTCTCACATCCGAGCGTGCTCGAAGGGTCAGCGAGCCAACTTCGGACCAGCTCCTTCACCTCGTCCGTCAGTTTCCATTGCCGTTCTTGGCAAAATGTCATGACTTCGCGGTAGCAGTGCCACCGCACGTGTGGCACCGCATTGAGAGGATACAGCTCGCTGGCATTGTGAGCCGCCTCTTCCTGCTTCAGCAAAAAGCGCCATTCTGATTCCATTCGTTTGAGACACTGCTGGGCAACATCGGGCGAGGGGTCGAGAAGCATGAAGAAGCGATGTGGAAAGTGATCATACAAAGTAGAAAAATCGTGGAAACGTCGCACGGTTGCCACCACGTGCTTCCAATGCACTGCCAATAGGTGCTCGGGGTCGTCGATGTTGCAAATCAAGTCCTGGATAGTCTCTTTGCACAAGGCAGACTTGAAGGTGTCCCGGATCAAACCCGACCAATGCTTAACCACGTAAGAACGAATCCGGAGGCTTCCCGCCACGGATTGATCTTCTCGCACCTGGCGTTGGTGAAACAAATTTCATTCTGGAAACTGATTCATGTCTCATGCTTATGTAATTGAACCGTCCAAAGCCCAACATTAACATCATGTCAGCCTCCGCTGCTTGGAAGCTTCGGAAAGGTTGCAGGCAATAGTAAATGCTCTTTCCATATGCCAGGATGAGAGGCTGCACCAAAACCTGAGCAACATACTAATAATAGCATTTCTGGGGCTTATCAACCTGAAACCAAATCGTATCTGAATCAAGGATCCCGCAGCACTTTGGGAGCCAAAGCAAGGTCGTCGTCGGAGCCTGCCTTGTCCAAGCTCTGCGAAAGAGCATGCCAAGGGCTGCGACCCTCTAAGATCATGGCATACAAATGCAGAAATAAACGGATGTGCCATGCCGGTCTCAATTTGCGAAAAGAATCAAGCAGGTCGGCCCAGCGACCAGACTTGTGTTCTTCACCAATGCTTCCTTGCCTGGAGCGGGCATAGGCCACGATCGCCTGTTTGACCTGACTCGGAGAGGCATCGGGCGAGAGGTTCAAGTCGGAGATCACCCCCCCAGAGACGAGCTGCACCAATGGATGATCAGCAGGAATTTCATCGACCCGGTCTCTTGCCTCTGCCAATCTCCGTCCGAACGAAGATGTTTTCCATGGTGCTCGCTCATATTTGAGCACCAGCATGATCTGTTTTCGTGCCAACACGATTTCTGGCACCTCCTGGGCAGCAAGAAGTTCCTCTCTGTGTAATTTATGCATCGTATCCCGATGCACACAAATCGCGAGCCCATTTTGAGCAAGCTGATATGCTCCTCCAGCGTCGCCTTCGTCCTGGAGGGCATTCAATCTCACGATGGACTCCCAGCCTGGATACTGGGTTGTCTGCCAGACCACCTCTTTAGAATCCGGTCGCCACAAGTAGGACAGATCCAGTCTTTTCCAGTGAACGACATTCCTTCGTTCACCTTGCCGACAAGGTCGAAAAGCGTGTGGCGGTAGGCTGTCAGCGAAGCGATAGTCAATCAGAGCATTGAGTGAATGATTGATGGCAAGTAGCTTGGAACGAGTGGCAATTTTCTCCGTGGGCGACAAGTTCGCAGGTCCACAGGAGCCCTGGGCACCTTTCAGATCTTGCAATGCCGTCTTTGGCACGAAATCAGCCGCCTTCGCCAAGTTGTCTGCAGCCGTGCTCTCGGTAGTTTCTTTCAGTTGGGGCAACAAACTTATGGGCGAAGAAATCACCAGGCCATCTGCAGACACAAGCACCTCAAGCACCTGGGGAAGACGAATCCCAACTTGCAACTAAAATCTCACCTTAACTAACCTCACGCGGTTTCCCATGACCCCGACACCTCATGTGTTCCCACTTTGGCCGCATCTTCTTGAAAACTCAAGTGACGATATCTCTGCTGGCCAAGTTTCTGGAGCAAAGCACTCCGGGAGTCTATGAAATAACCAGTGAGGTATTGGTGTGCTGCGGAAGCACCAAGGCTGTTTGCCAGCGTTCCAGGCAGCTCAAGATCGGCAGGGCAAATCTCCGTGTTGGACCGATTCCTCAAGCCAGTCACAAAGCCTCCGCCCCGGGCTAAAAATCGCTTTAACAGCTCTTGCCTTGCTAAGTTGGCATTCCGTGATCGTGACCCCGAGGACCACGGTGTCTGCCCTGCTTCCTCCTGTTGTCGCGGCGGCGTGTCTCGAAGGTGTATGCAGCCCTGTGACATGCCCAGCTCCCAAGCCTGGGCCAAAATGTGCACCATCCTCTTTTGCAGCCTCGTCACCGGGACGCTGCAAGCCTTCTGCATCAGCTCGGAGTCTGAACAGAAACCAGCATACGTCGGCTACTGGGACGTACCCGCCCAGGTTTTTGCGAGAAGTCCCCAGCGAGACACAGTTCTCCCACCTGACCGACAACAGAGATGGGAATCACAGAAAGGAGAGGAGTGAGGCTCGCAAAAACAAAAGGACATCCGCCTAGCAGCTTTGTGAATTTATTTATGCTAGAGCATCCCGAGGGCGAAGGGGCGAGCTCTTCAGCTGGGGCCAAATCATACGAATTATGGGGGTGAGCTCTTCAGCTGGGGCTAAATCATATGAATGATGGGGGGGGGGGGGCTCTTAAGCAGGGACTAAATCATACGAATGGGGGGGGAGGGGGGGGTGGGCTCTTAAGCGAGTGCTAAATCATACGAAGGATGGGGGTGGGCTCCTAAGCGAGGGCTAAATCATACGAATATGGAGGCGGGCTCTTAAGCGAGGGCTAAATCATACGAATGAGGGTGGGCTCTTGAGCAGGTGATGCAGAATCAATCATATGAATGATGGGGGTGGGCTCTTAAGCAAGGGCCAAATCATACGAATCATGGGGATGGACTCTTAAGCAGGTGCTAAATCATACGAACAATGGGGGCAGGGTCTTTAGCTAGGGCTAAATCAAACGAAAGATGGGGGTTGTCTCAAAAGCTGGTGCTAAATCATACGAATGATGGGGTACTACGACGTTGCTTACAATTCTGAATTTGGCCCAAAAACCTCTGCTTCAACGATGCTTGTACCTCAACATCGAAAAGCTTCAGAAAGCTCTTCAGCCTGACCTGGCCATCCTGCACTTGCAGCGTCAAGCTGGGAAGCAGCTTCAGCCCATCGGAGAATTCCAGAAGTTTTGTCATACGACGAAGAAGATGCAGGCATTTGTTCTGCGTATCTTGGGCCAAACCGCGAATTTGGGCAAGGGTACCCACCAAAAGCATGTAGCCGGCGGCAGACACACAATCGTACTTCAAACCAGGCCATGTAAAGGCTTGACATTCGCCCTTGTAGGCGTCGTGTCGCACGATGTGCTTGCGACTGAGCCCCCACATGTCACTGTGCTGCTGGAGGATGCCGGAGGCCTCGTTCTTGCTGAACCATGCAAAAAAAGTGGTTGCCATCCCCCATTGGCCCCATAAGTCTTTGATGCAAAACAGGTGTTGGTAGCCGTCCAGGTCCCGCTCCGCCGTCGGCTTCACCTCTTCAGGAGTCAGCAAGTATCAAGAGTAGGCCTGCGTTCGCTTAAAACAATGGACAAGGAAAGCTCTTTCCCCATACTTTATTATTGCATCCCCAATGCTGAACCCAAGCCTTGACGACCGTCAAGTAATCCGGCTCCACTCGCAAGAAAAGCATCGCCAAGGCATCAGAAGTTTCTACATTGGGCTCTGCAAGAGCGTTAGCAATCTCTTTATCCAGGTCTTTCTCCTCAGGATCCCCCGAAGGCAAGGGTGGTGGGAGAGGGTAGTCGCAGCCAGCACGAACCACCGAAACAGATTCGTCCAGCACATCTTCACGGATAATCTCTCCACCCAAGGATTGCAAAGGAGCTTTCTTGAACATGGCTGTTTGCAACATCTGAAGACATCGCAAGAACGCCTCGGCACCTTGTGCCGCCTTCGCCTGCAGCATTTGCACGATTCCATCTCTGACGGACGTGGCCTGAGAGCATAAGACTCGACTTTGGTTCCAAAGCTACAGAAGCAGCCCTTGTCGAGAAGAAGTTGTTTACAGATTGGAGATATCCGCACATTTGTAAAATGAATTCAAACTTGCATGCGAGTCTCCATTGCAGCACTCACAAAAAGTTGCAGACAGTCACCGCTGGACTGCCCATGGCCCAAAGGACCTCCGGACGTCGCACTCCCACGGCCAAAATGCTGGAGACTGCCTGCTGCTATGCGCCCAAACTGTTGGTTCCCAGGAACTTATCAGGGACCCGGTGCATAACTGAAGCTTGATTCTGAAGAGATGCATCCTATTCCCTATGCTTCCCACATGCAGCCAACGCAGAGCCGACCCGGGCTGCGGGGATCCATGCGTCTTGCAAATGCACACATTCCTGGTTGCTACTTCATTTCTGATATTGGAGACCCTACCTGAACACTTCAGTCCTCGTCTCTTCAACAGCTACCACCACAGCAAAGCGAAGCAGACAGCAGGTGCCCCAAACTCGGCACCAGTGCATGGCTGGTAAATGATCTCCCCGGAGAAGGCCTGCGTCAATATAACAACAAGCAACGCGGGCCCAAGGAAGAAATACCCGGCGTTCTGTTTTTTATTTTGCGGGGAGCAAAAGCATCGACACAGGTTTGGCAAGAGGACAGGGCTTTGACCAGGAGAATAGATGTTTCCTTACATACATCAGAGACCAGCAAACTGTGGGCCAACAAGGGCCAAGCACCAAGGGCACTTGTGGATGTTGGGGACCCCTGTATATTTCCTGCAATGCCTAGAGATCGCAGCCAACGGCCCCTGCAAATACATCCATGTTGCATACCTAATCACATATACCTGTACAGCTCCGTGCAGTGAACAGCCCCATCCCCTGACACAAGGAAGGTAGCCTCCTGCATTGCACAGTGTCATCTGTCCGCTTCATATAAACAAAACGAAACGACATTCAGCCAGGCCAGCCCACCCAGCCTCACACATTACAATTTCAGAAGACCCCCTGCAGTGAAATCAAACTGCAGAATTCATGCACCCCCGGAACCCTGACAACCTATAACCCAATTGCAGTGTGGGCCTGAGCGAGGCGGCAGCACCACCGCAAATCCTAGGACGTCAGAATAGCAGGCACCGAAGAAGCCAGCCAGGCACACATAGCACTCACTTCATGTAGGCACAGCAGCAGTCTTGATAGCTAGAACTTCTACAAGTCATCCAACATCATTATCATGTTCCTCTCTCGCTCTAGCACAGACAGTCTCAGGCTCACTCAGCAAAACAGACCATGTGCGAAACTGCCCGCTGGGCATCCTGGCGATCAGACCATTGTCGGCGACCTGACAGAAGTAGCTCCAGGGACAGCGACCAAACAGGGCAGCACGAGCAGCACGTGCGATGACCCCAAAACACCAAGCCCATCCCTACGAGCAGCCCAACCCTGAAATTCCAAGCAAGTCAGCCTCAGCTCGGCCCATTTGCCAAAGGCCATCCATAGCACGGGCCTAGGAGTCGCCAATCACACTTCGAGCTAGCACCTAGCCCCTTCGACGGCAACTCGCTCTGAACGGGGTAGTTCAAGCCATGCTGCAGTCTGCCGACACAGGCCCGGAACACAGCCGAATCCAAGTCCCAAACAAGCCGGCTGCAAGTTGCGAACCTTTCAAACATCGACTCGAGTGAAGTACAATCTGATTTGTTTTTGGACTTGGATTCTCCGAGCAAAATGCACATTAAGTGTTCCCAGCCTAGCACACCACCACGGTTGATGCAAGGAGCCGGAAGCCCCGGAACACGTGCTGACAGTGGCACCTGAAGGCTTATTTAGAATATTGGCATGAAAGACAGTCTCACTCGGTTTGTATACTTTCGCTATGCCAGAAGAACGCAGGCGTGGCCCTGTAGCAGCAAGTACAGACAAGTCAAGCCCCAGAGCACAGCACCGGCGGAAGCGGTCGTGTTGTTGACCACTATGTTGGTTCTATGACTGTGGTTCTTGGGACAACCTTCTCAATCAAAAAGAAGCAGCAAAGACAGTGACACGATCGGAATGCATCTGTTGCCGAAGAACATCCTTTGCAGCCCTGTGGCCCAGCGAGTGTTGCAGGAGCAAGCAACAGTACCAAAGTGCGAAGATCAGAAGCCATACAGAGCCATGGTATGAAAAAAGTAACCACAAGTTCGTCTCTGGGTGTGCGATCGACATCTACCATGAAGTACACATACACATACAAGCATGCCAAGGACACCGATGTTTATCTACACAATGTGTTTTAGATTCTAGACATGGTGTCAATCGCCAAGCAACCACAAGGAAGAAAGCCAGCTGGATAGGCCCCGCCTGCAACACTCACCAGAGAACTCCCAATCCCGTACCAAGGTCAAGCAGCATCTCTTGTCGCAGAAGACTCATGCTCGAAGCTTTGGCTTCTCTGTTGTCGGGCGTGCCTCAGCTCGGCCACTCGTCAGTGGCATTCGTGACCTGGGCCAAGGGGATCGTTCCAACCGAGACATTTACGGAAAAAAACGAAATTGCTGCTGATTCTGAGAAAACTATCAGTCGCGGAGAAGGATACATGATGCGTTTTCTGTGTTTTCACATACATCACATACCTCCAAGTGACGTGGTTTTCCGAATTTTTTGTGCGACCTGCATCGACCTTGAGCGAGAGTGTCAAAACTGAGGGAGTGCGTTAAAACTCCCGAATGCGGGAATCGCAAATGAAAATGAAAAGTCCCGCTGTCAGTCACTCAGCACCGAGAGCATGCGGAAGATGATTCGCCGTTGGGCCGCCGACCTGCCCAAACAGGAGTAAGGTCTCTAATTCCTGACCCAAGCATCCCAAGTGCCGCAACCCAGCACGAGAGGCGGGACAGGGTAAGGCACTTTGTCCAAGTGGCCGGCCTCGGCCTCGTCCTGCAAAGCAGCCTCGCGTGCTTCCTCCATTACATCCAGCACGGCTCTGTACATGTCCTGGCAGACACGTAGCCAGGAGGAAATATGGAAATGATTCAAGAAAGAGGACAGTAGTGGTCATGCCCTCATTTATCCTTGCCGTCGATGATGGTCTTGATCGCATTGGCAACGGCCAGCTTTTGGGAGAAGCTCAGCCGCTGGAACTTCTGTCGGGAGCCGGAATTGGCAATGAAGAAGTTGGCATGGCGTACCGTCTGGCCGCCATTCGCAGCGATCCACTTGTCCAGATTGGACAGCAAGGTCGCTGGGTCTGTGCAGCCCAGGGCAGCCAGCAGATCAAAGAAGGCAGCACTGTCCTGAGATGAAACAAACCCAAGCAGAGCCTGATGCAGACCGTGCCTTTGAGAAAAAAGCAGCTTCCGACTTCGACAAGGCACCTGCTCTCGAGGAAGGTGGGCAGAGACAACGTCGGACAACATCTCCAGCAGCTCCAGGTTGACGGGAGCTTCGAGAACCTCTTGGGCCGTGTTCAGGACAGGCGGGGCTGGCGCCTTGAAAGCTGCCTCCGAGTCCACATACGGCACCAGCCTCTTTGGATGAAGTCGTTCCATGCGAGCCAGTAGCGAGGGCTTTCGGCCCCTGCTCCGGCTCCACCACTTTCTCTTCCAAATCACCACCCATTGGCTTCTTCTTCTTCTTCTCTTCGTCGCCCGGCTTAGACTTGGGAGTCTTGGCAGCCTTGCCATCCGAAACCGCTGCAGCAGGGAACATCTTGCCGAACAAATCGCTATCATCTCCTTCGCTGAAAAGCCGGCGTACCGGGCCGGGAGCGTCGTCCTCCGAGGAACTCTCGTCTTCGTTGTTTGCCGCACCCTTGCCGGGGAGCCGCTGTGTCAACTCAGAGTCATTGGCCTCGCTCTTGTCACACTCTGTGCTGTCCTCATCTGGATTGGCCTTTGTCTTCGATCTTCGATACTTGTCGAAGATGGAGGGCTTCCCAGGCACGTCCTCGTCCTCGTCCTTGGCCTTCTTGGTCTTCTTGTTGCTCTCACCGGGAAGCTCCAGAGAATCAAGGACACTCTTTTCCAGCTTCTGCAGGTCTGCCCTCGCCTCGGCCTTCAAAGTGGACAGCATCTCTACGAGCTGCTTCTTGAAAGCAGCCCCGCCGTTCTTCACTATGTCCTTGATCCTGGGAAGGATGCTTCGGCGGAGCTGGGAGAGGCTGTCGAAGCCCACCACGGTTGTCTTCCGTGACTTCCCAACCAAGAGCCTGAGAAGAAGTACACTCGAGAGTGAATCAGCGGGCGGAAGCAAAGAACAAAGAAGGCATGTACACGGTGCACGACACTCGGATCTGCAGACAAGACAAGGAACTCGAAAAGTTGCATCAACCGGTCTCGCCAGCGTGCATCACTCCACTGCACGAGCTTCTGTGCTGCTGCCAACGACTCCTTGTCTGCAGCAGTTCGCTTCTTCGCCGGCACTTTCATGACCCCCTCGTGCTTCAGAGCCATAGTTTTGTGTTCCCCGCCCAACTCGCACAGATCTAAGACGGTGAGGCATCCAAGATCCCGGTGGGATTCCGCAAGGATGTAGCACACTTGCTCCTCAAGGCTTCGGAACACAGACAAAAGCCCTGCTGTGCTGAGAACATATCACCGGCACAATTAGTAGATTACACAAATCCATACGTGTGGTCCTAAACAATTTAGTGAATCCAAGCTAGATGCGTTTTCCAGGCCCCGAAAAATGCATCCGTGTCGGTTCTGGCACGAAAACACAGAAAGATGGCATGGCAACTGCAAGGCAAGCCGGATGCATTTAGCAGCTCTTGGAAAATGCATCTGTGTCGGTTTTGAGGAGGATAGTGCTAAACAGATTTGAACAACAGAAACCCTAAGCAGATGCAGATTTCCACGGGCAGATTGCCAGCCAAAATCTACATATGTGGTCCTAAACAATATAATGAATCCAGGCCAGATGCGTTTTCCAGGCCCCCAAAAATGCATCCGTATCGGTTCTGGCACGAAAACACAGAAAGCTGGAATGTCAGGTGCAAGGCAAGCCGGATGCATT